CGTTTGGCTACTTTTTGCTCCAGAGGAAGTCGAACATCCTACGTTAAAAATATAAATCAAAGTATCAAAATTCATACATAATAACCAATAAATTAATACTAAGAATAGGATAAAATATATATTATAATATTGACTCATCAATGCTAATAATAATTTTCGATATTTAAGTTGACACTTCAAATGTACATATTTTGAATCTTGAAGCATGTATGTATGCTCAAACATTGTAACGTGTTTCTGCCTGTGAAATGGTGATAACAATTCCCGCTATTAAAAATTGACACTTCAAATGTACATATTTTGAATCTTGGAGCATGCATGCATGTCCAAATAGAGAATTTCAATAAGAAATGCTAAAGAACTCAATTCAATCAAACAAGTCAAAAGGAAAGAACTAAACAGTTAACTCAAGTACAGTGCAGACATTGGAACTTTGCATTCCGCAATTGAAAACTATGGATGATTACTCGATCATAGTTTAATAGTTTTTGTGAGAAATAAAATTGTTATTCTTTTTTTGTCAACTGAGAAATGAAATTGTTAAATTTACAGAATATCTTAGTCGCGCAATAAGATAAATGTTTTTATGAATTTGAAAGTAATCTTACCATTTATTAGATCCAAAAAGTATTTTTTGTTGAGTGTTTTTGTACAAAACCGAAATTGAATGCTTAGAACATAGTTCCCTTAGCCTCATCTCCAGAACGTCATGCATGAGTATCGAGAATCTTATGGTGCATGGAAAATATTATGAAAACAGGTTTTATGATGATTTTTGTATTAGCAAAATGATTAAAGAGCCACCAACAAATTCATTGTTGAGTGTTGACCGCGCCATAACTGAAAAGAAAATATAATCCTTGTTGCATATCCTAACTAATAAAAAATGCTCATTAACCTTCAACAGATTCACCTCTAAATCAAATGGGAATTGACTTCCGAGATATACACCATTCTTCATAAATGGAAATTTAATTAACGTTGCATCCAACTACATCACCACATATATATGCTATTAAGCCCTGGCTGGTTATATGAAATACCCAGAAAGAAATTTGCTGAGTTTTAAAGATGAGCAGAGCACGAGAGCTGTTGCTTTTCTTTATCATTTCCTATGCTTTATGCACAGGTTTGTTTACTTCATATTTATCATTATACAAACAAAGAAAATACTAAGATATATATTCTGAATTTGTATAATTTCGAGCTCAGATTAATTGGAATATCGAACGTGAATCTTGGATATAGATGTTCTTTTCTTTATTTTCTATCATTCTTTTATTTATTTATTTCTTTTTGTCAATAGTTAGGTGAGATCCTAAGGGAAAAAGGAGGTGGAGAGTCTCGAAGAACTCGAGTGAGGAGGGTCACAAAGATGTTTGATTTCTAGTATAGCACTAGTATTCGTTTAACAATGATTAAGTGAGGTTAAGTGATTAGACATGTGTCAAAACTTTAAATCGATCGTCGAAAAATCACACACAAAATAAGTGCAAAAGATTTGAAGACGGTTGAAGGACTATACATGGACTTACCTCTGAATCAAACGGTCATTGACTTTGTAGATATGCACCAACATTCTTCATTGCATTTGGCCTATCCTAATTTCAAAAGTGTTTAATAACGTTCAACTAATTTACCTCAAAATCAAGTGTAAAAAGATTTCCCTCTAAATAAATTGTATCAAAATTAAACTCTAAATTAAATGGCCTTTGAATTTACGTGCACATTCTTTATAGAAAGGAATCCAATTAAAAGCTCTCTAACTACATGACTATCACTATATATGTTATGCCATAGCTGTTGGGAAAAAAAATCCAAATAAATCTGCTAAAGTTTAAAAGATAGCCATAGCAAGAGAGTTGTTGCTTTTCTTTATTGTCATCTGCTTTTTACGCACAGGTCTGTTTTATTATTTGATCAGCCTATAATTATTTAGTCAAATATGTTATATAAGCTTTTTTTTAGTAGAAGCGATAGTCTATATTAAATTAATTTAAGAAGAATTCGGACATTATCCATCCTTCGGAGGCATAAGCGAATCCGTTATGACATCAATCATTTGTATCAAACTGTTTTTCATTTTACAGAACAATGCTTAGCTAATAAATAATCTTCAATTGGTTTCATGTAAGTTTTTTTATTTTTCTAAGACAAGCGTGCTATATTTTTCATTTTCATGCATGTATTTATTTGATAAGGAAGTGATTTTTGCATAATTCTCTTTACGCATGCTCTTTTTATTTGTGGATTTGACTTGAATTATCGAAGAAGAATTAATGGAGAGAAAAAAGAACTGGCGCATGCAAAGGGAGAGCGAAGGGTTGTGTGAAAAACCATTTTTCTATGAGATTGGTAAAAACTAACATTGTTATATTGACGTTTTTCAGCTTTCCAAGATGTAGCTGCTGAACAAAAATTTTGTTGCGGTGATATCTATGTGGGAAAAAAGATGCGATCCGGGCACAAAATCGGAAAATGATTGCAATGTTCAGTGCATAATTAATTGTGGACATGTAGGGAGATGCATCAGAAAGAAAGTCCGGGGACTCTACTTGCCGTTCTGCCATTGTTGCCGGGATATACCTTCGCCGATGGAGGCCCCATTTCTTGGCATTTAAATATACATGGACGAGTACGAAAAAAGGTTTCTATAAATAATTCTAGTAAATTAACAACGATTTGGTCGTCCTTAGTTTTGATGTACACAGTGATGCTGTTGTTGATAATAAAGGTACTTAATTAAGACTTATAATTCAACAAACTACAAGCTAATGTTTGGAATTCAAAGTTTTAATTCGTTGGCTATTTAACATTATAGTTTATTGGTATTTGTAAGTGAGATTTTTCTTACAAGGTGCAACTTGAGTACAAAATCGGAAGAACATTGCAGTTTTCAGTGCATCGGAAAGAAAGTCTCTCAAATCTACGTACGTAGGTCGAATTCCAACATTAAGAACTTCAATACGAAATGCTTTAGAAGTTAGAACACAGTTTAATCAAACAAGTCAAAAAGAAAGAACAAACGATCAATCAGTTGTACAGTGCAGAAAGTGGAACCTTGCATCGGTGGCGCCATGAATCTTGGATCAAATTTGGCATGGAAAATTCAAAACCTAGTTGAAACATGCACAATTGACGGGAGATTCTAGTGTACAATTATGTGATGCGATAGACAAAAAGAGGAGGATATATCTCCGGTCACATTCAAGAATCTTCTGTCATTGGCTTTATTGAGCTTATCCGAGTAATATGATTGATTGGCACACATGCTGATCATAAATCTGATGTTCCACTGTTTTGGCATTTCTACAACGAATATTGTCTCTCACGGAGCCCTTTCCACAAGAAGGCTCAAGACGCTTTGAATTTTCCTTCCGATATTTTCCTTGAGCCATCGGTTCAAGGAAATTTGAAATTTTCCAGCAGCAGCCCCATGACCTTCATAGGTAACAGACAAGCAAACCCTATTTGATTTGTAACCCCCCTTGTCAACATATAGTTTAATATGCTTAATTTCCAATAGGGTGACAATTTTAGGGACATGTAACGCCTACTTAAACTAGACACGGAGTTAGGAGGGTTTGGATGACCATTAATAGCTTGACACCAACACGAAGATGATACAACACCAGTACTATAAACAAGTTGAGTTAGTCATTCGACACGTGATGAGATTTTGAACTATAAGTTAGTGTTGAGTCATTTAACACAAGATGAGATTTTGATTGACTATTTTCTATTAAGAACACGAAATAATATGACAAGAATGCACGAGCTGTTCACAACATCACAGTTTATATATAGCCCCATATACAAGTGTAGTACCGCCCAAACCCAAACGTAGCAGCTAACAATGCCCAGGTTTTCGGTCATCATGGCAATAGTATTCTTATTGGTGACAGCTCCTTCTGTCACTAATGCCACCATACCTTGTGGTGAAGTGGTAGTTTTGCTCACTTCATGTATACCCTTTGGAGTGTTTGGAGGCACAGTGCCTCCAGATTGCTGTAAAGGCATAAAAGGGCTGAATGCTGCAAAAAAGACGACGATGGACCGGAGAATTGCTTGCAGTTGCATTCAGGAAGGAGCTGCAAGAATCCCCGGGATTAATTTTGACCGGATTAACACTCTTTGTGATGTTTGTGACTCTCTTTGTCCCTACAAAGTTTACCCCTCCACTAATTGCTCTGCATAAGTCTCAGCCTCCTCTATAATTCTAACTTTCTGTGAACATATCACCAAAGTATGACGTTATTATCAAAATACCGTTTGGACCATCGCCATAATTTATCATGTACTTTTGTAACTCTATCACCTTGATCTCGTGAACTTTCATTATGCGTCTCACATTCATTGTTGGAATCGTTAACTTTTTCTTGCATGGTGCCTACGTGGATTAATCCCCAAGGTCATATTTTGCCAAAGCCCATGTAAAAAGAAAGTTAATAATTCACTTGTTGGAACTGATGAAATGGGGCAATGTAAGACGCAAAATGAAAGTTCAAGGGACAAAAACGGGGAGTAAAGTGATATTTTCGTGATAGTTTAGGAGGCATTTGATAATTAATAAACAAAAGCAATAGCATACTAATTGTAAATATGGGTGCAATTCTTTTCAGGGTAAACTGAATCCATGGGAAGATTGGAAGATAAACAATAAAGCTTCCGGGAAGACCATTCTTCCAAGCACAATGCTTTTGTGGAACTTAATTTGAAAGGGTTGGATCATATTTTATATGAATTGCAAGTAATCCAAATTATAATCTACTAATAATATAAAAAAAATCCTCCTTTATAAAAGCTCCAAATTGTTCGTACATATAACGCGTAGTATGTACGAACAATTTCTCTATGATGTTAGTTAAATTCTTGTATCATATCCTTGAAATTTATCCAAAATACCCAGCATGGTGCATCAAACTCTAATAAGTAAAAACAAAGGAAACATTAGATAAGTAAATCCGTCGATCTTGCGTATGTGAAAATTACTAGTGAGGTGAGAAGAAGAGTAAATCTTATATTCCATTCCCTTTAATCCTAGGATTTTGGGTGAAGTATGAATACAGAAGAAAGGAAAAGAAACATGTTGCAGTAGTACACAAAGTTGCAAGGTATTACATAAAAACATGATACAAAGGAAGAGAATGCTTTCATGAATTGGTAGCATCTCCATGCCCATGGCAATGACCTTCCATTCCCAGAATTTACAGCACTCCCCATACACAAAATTTCCGCGTCGAGCAGACTGATGAAAAGGGTGCTTCCCCGTTTTGGGGAATAGCCCTAAGAATAAACAATGAAGAATGAATGCTTGACACAGATCTAATAAATAATGAAATAAATATGGAGTGGGCTCTCTAAACGATCGGATATCAATCTATGAACAAATCTACCAGACAGCGTGTGCAATGGACAAGTTAGCAGGTGAGCAGCTCGGCAGCCAGTTTGTGTGTCAAAAGGGGGAACTTTTTTCACTAGCAGAAAGAGAGGGGCCTTCAGAATTCACGACTGGTGCTCCTTTACTACCAATGTCGAGTCCCTGTAACTGACTGACAGGGCCATTCTGCAACATATCTGAAAGACGAGTATGAGAATTTGACTGATGCAGATGTTGGGTAGGCATACAAGACTGGGAATGATTGAATTGTCGCAACTGCATGGTCTGGTGACTAGCCGGTCCTGGTTGTTGTTGAAGTGGAAAATAAGCTGATGGATGGTTGTATGGCATCTGGTGCATTCCCAAGTTGAATGATTCAGAAGGGCTCATCATCTCCCCTGTGGCAATCTTGAGCCTCTCAACCTCCTTCTTTAGAGCTTCGTTTAATGCTGCATGGAATATTTCAAACAAAATAAGTACCTTTTGGATTAAATGGACCGTTTTCTTCTGATATGATTAAGAAATAAGAAAGATTTCAAGCATAAAATATGAAAACAGTTGGCATGTTGCTCACCGTCGCGCGACTGAGCTTGTTGCTCCATAGATTGTAACCGAAGTTTAAGTTCTGTGTTTTCAGTACTCAGACCTGTGGTGTCCCTCTGTGTGTGACAAGAAACAAAAAGGTCATAATCTTTAACCAATTAACTAAAATTTGTGTGAATACGTATGAAGCGTGCAGAAGACAACATAGTTCAGAACCAGATGAAGGATAATAACTGAACATTGCAGCAGAGGATGAATTAAAGAAGTTATGATAAAGCACTTGCTCCAAGTATCCATTGTTTTGATGAATGCCTTTTTCCGTACTACGTGTCATTGATCAATTTAGAAGCACATAAGAGTGATTAGCAATGTTGGATCACAAAAAAAGTCCAAACAAAGATTTCATGTTTGATATTAGGGCAGTGTTGTCAAAAAAGTTGTGCACGTACAGTACAACGAGAAAACTGCTAAAATACACCAACACAAACCTGGAATAATGTAAGTTGAGCAGAAAGAGTCGTGGCTTCTGTTTGAAGGGTCTTAACTTTGCGCTCAAGTTCTTGTATATAGCGGGACTTCCTTTCTTTTGAGCGAGCAGCAGACTGCCGATTTGCCAGTATCCTATATATGACAACCAAAATGTGAGGATCCCGAAAACCCCCAAACTGGAAACAAATAGAGTTCAAGAAGTTCGTAGGCACACAAGTCTTGTTTGCCACCACGAGTCTTCGGTTCAACAGATTCATGCTTTTCCAAATTTTATCACTTCTTATTCTCCAAATACAACCTTCATGCAGTTTGATATTAATTAACACTCGATCTCAATTGAAAGGGAATGTCTTGAAAACCAAGAAACAACCTACCTCTAGTGGTGAATTCTAACAAAGGCAGAGCCTTTGATCAGGAAAATAGCTGGTTTGTGGCAACATCAGTTACTACTATGTTTTTATGCTAATGGTAATTAATAACAGCATAAACAGTTTCTAATTTGCAGTTTCTTGAATTCTATTTCATTTCCAAATTCAGCATTTATAAGTTCGTGATTTCCATATACCAAAAACCCCAATTAGGATTCCTTCTCACATTCCACATTTTCTCAGCAACCAAACAGAAAGCAGGAAAATAAAGTAACCCCGAAATAAAAAAAGAACAAAACACAGACCTTTTGGCACGCTTGGGATCAAGGGCCCAGAGCTCTGCGAGCTTATCAGGAGGCATAGCTTTCTTGGCCTCCATGACCTCCCCGAACAAGCCGGTCGACGTCGACGACCCATCTACCGAGCTGCTATACCGGTGCCTGGACGGCCTCTTCTCTCCTCCTCCTCCTTCCTCACCGCCACCGGCATTGCCATTGGGCCCACCATTAGCCCCACCATCAGGCCCATCATTGCCGCCACTATTCTGATCCGAGGAATTATTGGACCCACCGAGCTTGTCCAGGTCAATGTACGTGGAGAACAGGTCCTCCTCCGATCCCATCTCCTCTAGACTCGCCGTCGACGATCCTCCGTTGAACGGATCAGCCGCCGCGGCGGGCAGATCCATCATGTCCTCCGGCAGCCGAAAGCTCACCTCGGAGTGGGCCTTCCTGTGGCTCACACCGTGATTGTGGTGGTGGTGGGACCCGTCCGCGTCTTCCCGGATGAAAGGGGAGGCGGAATTGCCCAGCATTGACGCCAAGCTCAGCGATGTGGACGTGGTGAACGAGGTTGAAGACGATGACGTGGCGGCGGCTGCTAATCCCGAAGCATTGGCATTGCCGTCAATGCCAACGCTTCTAGGAAGCGGCGGGATTGGATTAGATTTGGGATTGGTAATGGGATTGGAATTGAAGGTGAAGAAATCAGGATTAGGGTTGGATTGTTGGAGGGGGGGATCTTGCTTCATTGGCCGGGTGGTTTTTGTGGACGTTGTGGGTTTGTTTGTCCCTCCCTCCCACGTGTTTCGCTCCACTTTGTGTCACCAGGAATTATTCACTCTATTTTCTGTTGGGTTTTTGTTTTTGTTTTGGTTTTTTTGAGTTCTTTTGTTTTGTGTTCTTTCTTCCTTCGTTCGCAAGAAACACAATGTCGAAGGTTAAAAAAAAAAAGTAATGTCAAATCTTTCGTAGAGACATACGGAAAAGAGTAATATTAAGAAGATCAACGTCTTTCGTCAAGTTACCGTACTAATATACCTTATAGTCTTTTTTTCTAAGAAAAATGTAAATAAAGCTAATTAGTAAATTTCGGATTAGTTTAATGCCGTGTAACCAGGAGTTTCTATTCAGAAAACCCAAAAATGTTAGGAGTGCAAGTTTAGATTGAACATATTTTAAAACATGACTAGCATTTTTAAAAGAGATCAAATCAACTCTGGATGATGAGACTTAACATGTGAATTGAGTTTTGCAGGTGTTAGCCCATGGAACTCATATGAACAAAGAGATATTTGACAAGCCTACAGAGTTTGATCCATCAAGGTTTGAGAACCCATCCAAACCAACCCTCCCCATGCTTATATTTCATTTGGAGGAGGCCTCCACAATTGCATAGGGAATGAGTTTGCAAGAGTATAAGTGCTTACTATCGTCCACAACTTGGTGACAATGTTTGTGTGGTCACAGGTGTATCCTGATGAACCAATAACTAGGCAACTGACGCCATGTCCATCCATTGGTCTCCCAATCAAGATCACACCAAGAAGCCTTAATTACTGTTTAGAAGGCCTTGTTTATGCCTTATGCAAAGAATTTATCATTTCTATTTGTATCTCATGTACTTCATATTAAGCTTTTTATTTCATGGTCCGTGAGATTGGTATAATTCCTTACATTGATTTTTGAGATTTAAAATTGATAGAAGTGGTCCCTGAGATTATCCACCGTCAATCATTTTGATCATTCTATGAAAAATCTCTATTAAATTGAGGGTATTTTTGCCAAATTAACTCATCTTATTAGACCGATGGCTCTTCAATTTAACGGATATTTCACAAAATGATCAAAATAATTAACAGTGGATAATTTTAGGGGTTACTTCTATCGATTTTTAATCTCAAAAATCAAAGTAAAAAATTGAAAATCTCATATATTATTTTAACTAAAAAGCTAAAATTTTATAAAGCAATGGAAAATTGGTTAGGATATAGATTGAACCTACGACATCATGGTACTGCAAAAGTAAACATGTTACCAATCAAATGGGTCTCTTTATCGGCCCACTTTGAATTTGCGTACTCTTACGGTATTTGCACAATAATTCTCTTTGTGTATCTTGCTTTTCGTGTGATTCTTCAATTCTAAAGTATCTTGTGTAGCATTTAAACTTTCGTAATACATAGCCCACATTGCTGAGCAAATTAGTATAACGAAAGGATAATTGTTATTCAATAAAATAAAAGAATTATTGTACGAACTACTAAGACATCTAGTAATTGACAATTGTGGAGGTTCTTATTGTTTTTTGCCATTATCTATGTGTTAATTGTGACATCACCAAGGACCACAAACCAAATTGCATTTCTTAATTTATTTCACTGTTAGTCCCCGATTATACTAAACTGCATGTACTACAGCTATTATTTGTCCTTTAATATTATAAAAGTAAACATAATTGTTGTCCTTCATTTATTTTTAATCTTATTTTGTTACATTTTCATGGCTGAGTATGTAGCATGTAAGTAATATTTTCACCACTACTCACAACTAGTAATGCTACAACCACATGATGTAACAATTAAGGTGATAAAAAAATATGCTAAAAAGACTCTTTTAAAAGTTGGATTTTTCATGAACTCTCTGTCACCTCATGATTTAACAATTCTCATGCAAACATTATAAAATATTGTGTCAAAAACATGAAATTGTAGAAAATCCATAAAGAGGCTCCTTATTAGCATTTCTTAGTAAGAATAATTCACATAATAAGTGTGCACAAATCATGACTTTATGTAATCAACTAATTACATCACTTAACACTATATTTTGCTTAGAAAGAATCCATGATTATGGATGCTGAAATATTAAAGTGTAGTCATTAGGCATTTTCTTTTTGGATCAAGAATGTAAGATAACTTAATTAATTAAGGGATCTTTTGATATAGGCGCCTCAGTTTTAAAATTTTAAATCAAACATCCATACATTTTAGTAATTTGATTAAACTTTTATTTGTCATAATTTTGGCGCTATATGCACATTATATTGTAACAAATTTCCTATAATCTATCTTTTTAATTACACTCTCCTCCGTTAGAAATAATTGTTAAAAAAAAAAAAAAAATTGGTTAGATTCAATTTATTTTCACAATAATGCTACAACTTAGCAATAATTATCTACAATTTAAGATATTTTCTTTCCAAAATAGTTTAAGATATTTTTAAATCCCACAAAATCAAATGTACCGAAATAAGTTTTTCTTTTAGTGCATTAAGAGAAAATAGGATTGAGAATAATATAAACGTACAAATACACAATGTGTACAAAATAAAACGTACCAAAATAAAAATAATGTACCAATATTAACAATATGTATCAAATCAAACGTACCAAAATTACAAATAAACGTACCAATTAATGATTTTTGTAAATTCAAACGTACCTGCAGATAATATGTACGTAATGTATTAATAATAATTTGTCAACAACTATACTTAAAAAAACAGCAAAAAAAAATAAAAAAATCACAAAAAAATTGAAAAAATTACATTGAGCTTTTATGTTGATCACCAACTATTTGAGAAAAAAAAAAACTGTGATCGAAAAAACATATATGAAATAAGAGAAAATATAGTTTGATTACTAATATCTCCACTAAATAAGAAAAAGTGCATCATGCAACTAAATGATAAATTCAAAAATTATTTTAATTTAAAAAATATAATAATGACATGTAATTTAGCTTGTGATGGTTATTGGTCAAAGCACTTTAATCAAATTTTAAAAAGGCACAGATGTTTAATTTAAATAATATATAAAAACTGTAGGGGATTCTAATTTTCCCATTAATTAACCCACTTAAGAGCTCTTCATACTTCTGCAACAACAAAAACTAAGTCTTATCCCACTAAATGGGGGTTGGTTGTATAAATCCTAAAACGCTACTGCGCTAGATTTTCCGCCAAATCTTCCGTTAGCTCCAAATACTCCATATCTTTTCTTATAGTCTCTTCCAAAGTTTTACTAGATCTTCCTCTACCCTTTTGCCCTAAGTCTCCGTCTCATAGTCGTATCTTCTAACTAGAGTATCTGAAGATCTTCGATTTACGTATCCAAATCATCTTAACCGATTTTTTGTCATCTTATCTTCAATTGCGGCCACTTATTTTGCACCTCAGATATCCTCTTCTTAATCCTATCCTTTAATACTTCTAATTAATATTTTCCACTCCTTTCAATCCGTCATCCTCATATACTTTTAATTTCTTACAATTTTAAATTAAATGTCTTCCATTTTAATTTGAGCATAAATATCTTGTTACTTTTCGTCAGTCTGCATAACATCGTACAAAGTTACTACAAACATATGGCTTTCATGGTAGTAATTGCGATCACTTTGATAATAGCTTTCTTCGTTTCAAAATTACTTCTGTTTAAAGGTCAGACCAAAAATCTCCCAGGAGGGTCTCTAGGGTACCCTTTGCTAGGAGAGTCCCTGAGCTTCCGCCGAGCACAGAAGCAAAACCGAGGCCCTCAGTGGTTCGAAGAAAGAGTTTCAAAACATGGCCCAGTTTTCAAAACCTCCTTGATGGGTTCACCAACTGTCGTTGTTACTGGTCAAGCAGGTAACAAGTTTGTTCTTGGTGGTAGAGATGATGTTCTTGCCACCAAGCAACCGCTCGCCCTTGCAAGCATTGCTGGAAAAGAAAATATATTTGAACTTACAGGATCAAGGTAATAAATAAGTCCCATCCAACTTGTACTGAAATGATTTCTTGTGACACGTTATGTTATTCGATTGTCAATCTAAATCATAAGTTATGTAAGTTTTCGTTTTAAGGCATGATCGAAATTCATGGTTAAAAACATAACTTGACAAAAGTTTTGCATTAGAACGTCATTTTGTCATATAGCCAAGATTTTACAGTCTAGTAACCATAGGTGAACGAGGTTTCACAATCTAATAACATAACATGTCAGATAGTAATGGAGCATCACCTCTAATTTGTTTATATTCAATGACCGAAATTAATAGTCTAATAACATGGCTTGTTAGATGCCTAGTGTTGGAACATATCCCTAAATTTGTATGTTACGATCTATGACCAAGGTTGACAGTCTAATAATGTCCGACAATGTAACACGGCCCTTAATTTGCATATGATCCTTATTACATTTGTGGTTCAATATGAAGAGGTAATTTATGTTTGTTGTAGTGTAGGTACAAAATGGTAAAGGGAGCAATGATGAGCATCTTAAAGCCTGAAATTCTTCAGAAAAACATCAAACCTATGGATGAATTAATCAAGAACATATTGCTTAGAGAAACAAAGAACAAAGACACCATAAAAGGAGTCGCCACCATGAAGAAGCTCACATTTGAATTAGCATCCAACATCCTTACCGGCATCAAGGATGAGCACACGACTGAGGCTTTGTCTGATGATCTCTCCATAGCCTTCAAAGCAATTGCGACGATTCCCTTCAATTTTCCAGGCACAGTTTTCTGGAAAGGTCTAAGAGCCAGATCAAGGATTGTAAGTCGTATTTTGCCAATACTTGAGCAAAAAAGGGAGGAGCTTTCAAAGGGGAAGTTGAGCCCTACAAGCGATCTGTTCACTTGCTTACTAACCCTAAGAGATGAAAACCAAAAACCACTTTCTGATGATATGATTATAGATAATTATGTCACCTTAATCATAGCTAGTCATGACACTTCAGCCATCCTTCTGAGCCTAATGATATGGAAGCTGTCCAGAGACTCTGAAATCTACAAAAAAGTTTTAGAGGGTACTAAATATAGTGCTATTTCATTTTTTTGCTTAGCAGCTTAATTAATTATGGCAAACTTCTCACACTTCTTATATATTTGTATTAAATTTCATTGCTTGGTAGAACAAATGGACATTTTAAGGAAGAGGGATGAAGAAGCAGAAGATGGACTAACATGGTCTGAGATACACAATATGAAATACACATGGAGAGTTGCACAAGAGTTGATGAGGATGGTACCTCCTGTGTTTGGTAGCTTTCGGACAACAGTTAAAGACACTCAATATGATGGCTATGACATTCCCAAAGGGTGGCTGGTAAAATTTTCTTTAATCATTAGCTTCATACTATTCCCTTATCGCACAAGTAATTCTTCGTTGTGACAATATTACTCCATCACTTGGTACAATAGTCCACATGTGCATATGTTATAACACGTGTTTTGTTTGTTACTCTCTAATATATAAATTGACTATACACCCATGTTAAAACAGGTTGATTATACCCCCATTGTTAACCCAAATATTTTCCCTTTGCCATGCACTCCGGACGTGCCAATTGTCTTTCACATGTAGTGGTCTCCTTTGTGAAGCATGATTGGTTTTTTGTTGATACTTAGTGAAAAAAAATCTCCAAATTCTCGAACTCTAATTAGCATCTAAGAAACATTTAAATAAGTAGGGTTTATTGCTTAATCATATCATATGCCTGCTGCAGGTGCTTTGGATGGCACATGGAACTCACATGAACAAAGATGTATTTGATAATCCCAGAGAGTTTGATCCATCACGGTTTGAGAACCCATCGAAACCAATCCCTCCATTTACTTATCTTCCATTTGGAGGAGGTCTCCACACTTGCATAGGGAATGAGTTTGCCAAAATAGAATTACTCATTGTCATCCACAACTTGGTGACAAAGTTTGAGTGGTCACAGCTGCACCCTGAGGAAGCAATAACTCGTAACCCTGGGCCATATCCATCCATGGGTCTCCCAATGAAGATCAAACCAAGAAAGCTTTAGTTAGTACAAAGGCTTGTTTGTGCCTCATGCTTTGGTTGTTGATGATTTTGGTTTTGCACTTGAATTGCTTGTTCTTCAAATGAAAATCATGGAACTATTAATGCATTATAAATAAAAATTCGGCGTGGATTAATTAACATAATTATTTTCCATAGCTATATATATCTTATTTTCACTTGTTCTTGACCGAAATACTGTAGGTTTATTTGCTATATCTTTTTTGTATCCGTTGTTAGGGTTTTGTAACTTGCGCATCTGATCAATGATACTTATGTATAAACCTAGAGATCTAGTGTTACATGCAAAGGATTTGTAGCTCAAGTAGTTAAGAGCGTTTACCATTACACTTAAAATCTTACTTTTGAAATCCCCCTCCCCTAATTCTTCTATTGTTTGGCCAAAAAAAAGAGATTTTATCCTTTTGATTGCTTATCTCGTTGCATATCTCATGGCCGGTGGTTCTAGGCTATGGAATATATGATTTCTATAAATGTCAACGCAAAATGAAGATACACGTATAATGAATTAATTAAGCAAAATCCATAGTAATAAACCATTGGAAGAATAATGTATGGGAAATAACTCAGTGACCAAAAGAAAACTGAGATTGTTGGATAAATTGCGGTCTCCATCCAAACTCCTAGAAAGGAAGGTGGTGGCGATGGCTTGGTGAATAAGGGGAATAGGATGAACTATTCACGACAAAAGAATTTGGGCCACTAGCATGGCCTCTGTTTGGGGTCCTCGGAGTCATCGGCGTCATCGGGCTTTTTGATCTAGGCGATATCATCGAGCTCCGGCCGTAGCCCCTGTTGCCGACGCTTCTTCTCGGCCCTTTCTCAGCCCACTTGAGCTCTGCTTGCTTCACACTGGAAGGGTACCTTGAGCAACACCCAACCTTCCCTGCTCTTTGTATGTACCTATAAGCCAATTTACTTGTGTCATAAAATAAACAATGAGACAAAAACATTATTGTGTCCAAACATCTTGTAGTGGAGTTTCTTCATGTATTAGGCCGCTGTCAGTTTGTGAAGTGCCAAGTATGAAGAACCAAGGACGGCAATGCTAATACATTTTATATCTTTAAATTATATGTTATTATTGGTCCCGTCGTGTAGAACAACCTCATTGCCGGCATTTGTTTAGTTTTCAGTTTCCTTGTTTGTTTTTTAAGATGTGTACCTTGTTTGTAATTTTTCATTACATGATATGACAATTGATGTGTTTAGTATTCAACACTATAATGGTTTTCATCGTTTTTATTGAGTATATAATAGTCTATTTACCTTTTTTCTAGTGTTTTTGACACGAACTCGTCCAATCTATGGTTTTGGGAGTGGAAAACAATCCATGAAAATGGGTATATTCTTTGAATTTTTTTTTTAATTATTAATGGGAGTCGAATTTGGTGCTTTTTTTTAGCGACCAAATCTTCGATTTGGAGAGAGTAATAAAGCACAGTAAACAAACATAGTAAATCCCCCACAAGCATTATAAAACAAACACATTACACAAGAATCAACGGTGCAAATCTGCCACAATAGGTTAGTGTTGACAGATCTGAGACTGAGGAACACATAAAGTACCAGTTTGGTACTAAGATACTTTTATAAAAAGTGGGTATAAAAAAAAAAACTAAGCTCAAAAAGGTGTTTGGTAAATACTTAAAAACAACTTATTTTCACAGTTTTGGATGAAAAAAAAAAAGTTGAAAACGTGAAGCAGCAAAAATGAGTTTATTCTCACAGCATAACAAAAACAATTTTTTTTTAAAGCACAGTAATACCAAACCAGCCTAAAGCCACCATGAAACAGAGGCCACAAAACCGCTAGGCGGCACAAACAAACACAAACTTCAACTAAGCCATAAAGGAAACTGCCGAAGGCTCATCTGCACAACGAAAACAGGACAACCTTTTCTGACCATCAACAATGTCACCATACCTCGAACAATTCACAGCACCACCACCAAAGCAAGAAAACGTGTTGCAAATCCCGCCATGAAAGGCTTCTTGACCACATAGCAAGCCTTGATTCTCCCATGGGGCTCTATCAAATTATGGAGAGTTGATTCAAAACAGTGGGTGAAGAGATGGAGAAGGGGGAGGCACGAGGTAAGGCTGGAGGAGAAAAATACGTAGGGAAGAGGGTTGCCGCCAACCCCTAGCCATGGCAAGGGGCGGTGGCTGGAGGACAAGAGTTTTAAGGTTTTCCTTTGGGTTACAGAGGAATGAAAGATGTTATTGACACTTTACAAATGTCATCAAACATTAATTAAAGTGCAGTTTTGCTATATTATTTATTTACAGATCATAAATAAATGATTATTTTCTTAGAATATCAATAACATTCAAAATAAGAAAATTTAGTCATTTTGAAGTTACCCATATGGGTAATTATCGTGTTGAGCTAATGGTTTGAATCTAAATATCTAGTAATTGTATGACAGCACTTCAAATAATTGGAAAGAAAATTGATCATAGTTTGACTTGACCATACCTTTGGCTGAATCTCCTCCCTAAACACTCAACGCATTTTCTACCTTCTGTCATTTCTCCCATCCCTACCATCACACATCGCCTACAATACACTCTTCCACATACCTGCATACAAAATTAATTACTACCATCTGATCCATCATCATTTCCATACATGTGTTCAATATTTTCTCAAATATATCAGCAATGCATTAGACACTGTAAACTTGTACAAATAACACGTACCAGGCAACGGTGGCGGAAAATATAGATGTAGGTACTGCAAGGGGTGCAGATATTAGAGTGGGGAATCCCAGGCCTTCGTATTCCTCCTCTCCCTTTCTGGTACATGGAAGCCATGCTTACACCGCTCACACCACTCATGTCATGATCAACTGCCCCTAAGCTAGTCTCCAATCCATGCTTCATACCGGAATTACACGTGGGACCAGGACTTCTCATATTCATATGATGATCATTATTAACTGCATGGCCATCATGACCATGATGCATCTGATGGCTATGATGGTCACCACCGCCCATATATCGACCGTGACCTCCACGTGCTGCATGCCCATGCTGATGATAATTATGATCATTGTTACTACCTATGCCATATGGACCGACGGGGACATTGTTTTCGTTGATGTGGTGGTGGTTGTGGTGGTGGCGGTGGTTGTCTCCGGATGCTTGCAAGGCACGGTTGAAGTCAAGGCTGGGGAGTTTGGTGAAAGGAGAAGGGGATGATGCTTGTGGGGTGGATTTTAGTTCAGAGATTGGATCCAGTATTAATGGAGTAGGTTTTTTCTTCTTTTCTGATGGAACTTGGTGTATTTTGAGCTCTGCAAAATCCTGGAAAGTTAGGTTAACCGACTCATCTGGGATGCCTTGGTACATGTCTTCAAGCTCCATTATTGCCTTGCTCAATGTTGCCTTGTCCCCCATCTCTACAATTTGAGAGAGAGAGAGAGAGAGAGAGAGAGAGAGAGAGAGAGAGAGAGAGAATGTTAAAAGAGTGAATTAGCGGTTGGGATTAAGAAGGGAGATTAAGTTGGTTTAATAGGTTCCAATGAGAATAACGACGGTAATAAATGGACAAGTTCAAGGGCCGGTCGCGGACATCGAGCATCAAATTTTCCTCCCATATTGAAACATGGCAGGGATTAAGGATTGTGATGTATTACAACCCAAAAATAAAAGGTTTTGAATTGGCCCTCAACCGTGACATATATTAATTACTAATTATTTGAATGTTAAGCAGAAATGAATTGGGTCAGTTGGCAAGAAAACTGTGTTCATTTAGTTGCATTGCACATAAGTTTAAACCATTTTATAATTTAAAAACAAAGCAAATTAGTAGACAAAGTTATGGTCGTTTCACGACTTGGCTAATAAATACAAGGAAAAATTAGAATGCCCTACATCTTTTTTATAGTTATTAGATTAAACATTTATTCCTTTTAAAGATTTGATTAAGGTGCTTTGATCAATTGTCACCTCAATAATTTTCTATTTATTTAATTTCCATGTCATTAATTTAAATGCATTTATATAGAGGCATAAGGTAACTTAGCAATTAATTGCCTACAATATAGAAATTTAATTTCGTCAATCCCCTCCTACACATTAAATGACATTTTTTTAATAAAATAAAATAAAAAATTAATTAACTAATTCCTCATTACCTTATTCAGTATTTAATAAAAAAAAATTCTCTTTCTATTAAAAATGTCTCAATAAAAAGTCTTCAATACATATTGTTTTCACGTGTGTATATATAATATACTTAAAACTTATGGTACATTTGAGAACAAAAGTATCGACTTTTGGTATGTTTAGATTTCAAATGTACCGAGAAACCAAATGTACCAAAAATTCAACTGTACCATAAAACCAAATGTGCCCATTGTTAGGTAACTTTTTTGGTACGTTTAGATTCCAAATGTACCAAAAGACCAAATGAACAAAAAATCACAAATGTACCACAAAACCAAATGTCTCTATCTGATAACCCTTTTGGTACATTTACATTCCAAATGTACCAAGAAATACAAAAAATCAAATCCACTATAAAACTAAATGTGTACATATTATAGGTAACTAGATGTAGCTATATAATCAAACAAATCTTTATTATGTGTTGGGTCTTCTAAATAATAAAATCACACAATTTTTTTTATAAATATTCTACTACATTAAAAAAAAAGTAAAATTAAAACAAACAATAAAAAAAATGCATAGAGATGTATAATAAATGCATAAATATAGGGATAAGAGGAAAAGAAAAAAAAAACGAAATGTCTAGGAATAGTTGTGAAAAACTCAAATTCTAAACAAAATAAACTTATGTGAAAAACTGAAATTAATAACCAAAATTTTAGGAAAATGTTTGATCAAATTTTCAAAAGGAGCGTATATTTAGTCTAAAAAATTAAAAAACGAGGCGCCTATATCAAAACGCTCCTAAATACAAATCCAATATTTGACCCTTTGTAGTGCCTTGGTAGATTCCTCAATTATAAATAAAGAGTTCTTTGAAGTTTGATTTTATTATTTCACTTTGTATATAATCATAAGAATATTTATTCAAAGAAAGTTAGATACCTCGTGAAGAAATAAAGTGCACCCCATGTTTTGGCAACAACGATTGGTTGAGCTGGTAATGATTATTTTCTTTTCTAAATCAAGGTTTAGGTTCAAGTTCAATTGCTGACAATCTCTTTCGGTGATCAATTTGTAAAAACGAAAAAAATTGGCTAAGACCCATTTCTGTAAATCCTCAAAGAGACTTGTATTATGCCCTGATACTAGAATGTGACAGCCTCCCATCCTCATAAGCTTTCCTTGACAAAAAAATAAAAAATAAAAAAGCCTCCTATGTTTCTATTATTTGGCGAGAAACTAAACAAATAAGCAATAAAAATGCATATAAATCAACGTCCCGGCCAAGAACAAAATAGTTAATCTTGCGGCCGGCGAATTTTTTTTGTTTGTCAAGTACTGTAGCCAGTAATAAACTTAAACTTGTCTGCTGCTATCGAAATATTGGTCTTCACTCTTTGCTTTGGTGAATTTTAGGTAAAACCCCCTGTCATTTTAACGCCTAGTGATGAAACAACAATGGTCGAGTTTGTTTTGGATTCAAAGATCCGGAGCACATTTTTTCACCTTCTGCACTCTATTCAATGGTTAGAAGAAGAGTGCACAATGTGAAGAGTTGAGACATAGGACACACTTCGTCATGACCACCTAACTCGGATTTTCTTGTTGGCTTCGATCTTCTCTTTGGTACGCAAGTTCCCAACAAACGGGGATTATCATATACAACCGATGTTGCTCGTAACAATTAAAATCATTGGCCTTGTTTTTCCAACCTCGCTCTCATCTAAATTGAATTCAATTCACCTGACCCGATAGTACCCATTTTGGAAATGTCCAATGCCAAAGTCACTGAATGGGTAACGTCGGCTCTCCAAAACCCGATATCGTAGGTTCAAATCCTATAGAGCGTGATTCTGTTCTTGCTAGGTCTAATTATAACTTCACTAACTTGAACAGCAAGCTGAATTTTTCCTTCTATAGAGTTGGTTTGAGATTCTTCAGTGAGCTCTAGAAAATATACCCATGACACACACCGTTCAACACAAAACACTTGAAACCCCGAAAAACAAAAGAAAACCCTTAGCAAAATATACCCATGACACACACCGTTCAACACAAAACACTTGAAACCCCGAAGAACAAAAGAAAACCCTTAGCACTCAACATTAACAGTTAATAAGTGATGGATTTTTTTTTTCCATAAGATTGATTTTTTAAGTAATCTCGTCCAAAACCGATTGCCGCAAAAGGGTAGCGTTCATGCAAAAAGAACAGATTACATTCACTGGCTGTGAAGAACTGGTAGAGATGTATAGCACTGGCCTCTATAAATAAAGCAAAATAAGGATATACTTCCGACAAAAAAGAAGGGCGACGGTCCGATTGTTTCAGTCCTCACCACCTCTACCCTCCAAGTCCCACGCTGCTACGGACGAAAGGCTGCCTTCATTACACAGGAGTCTGTCAGTCTCCGCAGTCTCTTGTGCAAGTAAAGAAGAACCAAGACCAGCCTGTGGCTCACACATCTTGTTTGTGAGGAAACTTTCCTTCGTGCCGTTCTTTACTGGTTGGCAAGCAACAGCGTCAGTAAGCCTCAACAAGTTCAATCCTGAAACCTGCACATAATTGTGTTTGGGCTCACAATTCAGATCAATTTGTCCAGCACATGAACTTTCAGCCACGTCAGCTTCAATTCTCTTCTCGCTGCTGCTTCCATTCTCCGATGAGTGATTCATATGCAACTCGATCTCTGTTGATGTGCCATTCATTTCTGATTCGTCCTTGTGGTCATTATTATCCCTATGGGCATTCTCCGCTTCACGTTCTGATTTGCGTTTCCTCTTGTTCATCATGAGGGTTTTGAAGCGCCGTTTTACTGTCATGCACACGTTGCATGTGCATGTTGGCTTGTGCTTGCCCTTCCCGCTCGGGGGTTGAATACATACTATGCAAGTGCAGCCTGGGCGATGGCGTGGATGTCTGGTTGTGGCTCCAAGTGATTGCTCACCAGAGTAATCCACATTATCTCCCAGAATGGCAGCACTAGCACTCGCCAGGGCATCCAAGCCAGAAGGTTCATGTTCTTGGGCTTCATTATGGTTTACTACGATTCTTCGCTTCTTTAAATCTGGGTGAAATTAAAGATGGCCATAACAGAAAAATATAAGTTTACCAATGCCTACGTTGACGGGTGTGGTTGGAAACAATACGTGCATGTGTGTTTGAAAAATGTATTATATAAAAGAGAAGGGACACAAAGGTTCAAGTTCTACCTATGCTTGGCCTTAGAAGATTATCTAATTCCTTTTGGCTCACCTCCTCTGGTGCAGAACATGAGCACCTGCAATGATATAAAACAAACACAATCAGTCTTGCATCACAGTGATCTCACGGCACAAGATTAATGATTTAAGTTGCAACCTGTTCATATCCCAAGAATTTTCAGAGCATGTCCACTTTGGAGGAAGAAAAACGTTGACAGGCAACCTCCGCCACTTAAAGCAATCATCACACTGAGCCCATTGTTCTTGTCTCCTGGAATATAAGTTCCAGGTTTCACAATGCACGCACAAAGTTAGTCCACAATTTACAGCAGACAGCATACCATATCAGGCACATGCTCATGTGCCAACAAGGTCGTTGGCTACATTTCAATAGTGGATTCAAGAGACTTGAGGATGCTCTTTGTGGCCGGGTATAAATTAAATACATCCTCTTTCTCAATATGATAAAGTAACATAGCATAGTATATCTCACAATACTTACTCAGATTCGGCAATGAATAGAGATCTCTTCCCAAACACTGGAGGCTCCTGGAAAAATTGAACAACATTGATCAGTCGACTCATTGGAATTTGTAACCTTCAACGGATTGAATATGACAGAGAATCATAACACACGTCTTCGTATAACAAGAGGAGCACTGACTATGACATACTTACATCATACTCTTCGAATTCATGATCTTCTATAGTTACAATGCTTGGTTTGACACTCGGGGGTGGACGAAGCAAGTCCTGTGCTTCTTCCCAAGTCAGTCTCAGCTCTAGAACATCTTCTCTATGCAAGAGCAACCTCTTACTTTTAGGCCCAATATTTCGGGCCCTCTTCTTGTCAGAATTTGACACTGGCCGCTGCAGTAAATCCTCACTTGTTAAGTGACTATGGTTCTCACAATTATGCAAACTCGTATCCCCATCAGCCAAATGCAAATGTCCTGATAGAGCATTTAGGTAAGGGTCTTTGCTTCCCGTATTTGTTTGATAAAGACTAGACTGACCACTTCCTGATACCAGATTCTCAACGACACTAGGACAGGAAGTTTCCCCAGGAGTTCCATTGGGAAGGAAAGATGTTTGGGGGTCCTAATTGTTTAACATTTGGGTAGAAAAGTCAGATTCCATCAGAACAAAAGAACAAAAACACAGTACAGACGTAAGAGGGTGAAGAATATCAAGAAATATGAAATTATGATACTTGACCTGCATATCTAAACTTCTTGATGCCTTTCGGAACCCAATTACAAGTCTGCCTCCAGGATCTATCCGACTGAATGTCACTGCAACAAAAGAACCAGATCCAAATCTAGACTTCAGCTGGGAGTTCTTTTTCTATGGCAAAGTGAATGAGAAGCTAATGAAATAACTGGAAAAATGCAAAATATGCGGACTTTTTATCTAAAAGCCCTCTAAGCCAGAATATAGTTAAGCATACCGGTATCACCAGCTTGAAGTTGCATAGACTGTATGCAAGGTGTTACTCCTTCTAAAACATACATCCTGCTATTATTATTTGGCCAAAATCTGAACTGAAACGTCCATTCATTACCCTTGACATCTTGAATCCTTATAGGAAGGCCTTCTGATTGAGAAATAGGAGGAAAGTATGCCTGCATTCACTTCCAGTTCATACAAGTGTGGCAAAGGGAAAAGAACACATACACAAACAAGGGGAAAATGGAAGGATAAAGAAACAAAAATAAAATAAAATTATCCCCACCTATCCTTCCCAAAACTAATAAATAACATAATCCCAAATTCATAAGAAGCCTTTTAAGAAGTTAACTTTTTAATTTTTACCTCAGCACATGCTTTTGGGAGAACCAGACGACCAATTCGACCTGCATCGCTGGCACTTAGCACCTTCTCGAACAGTGGCACAATAGTAGAATTCAAACTTTAAAAACATTTAAGGAAAATACCATAAATTCAAATAGACAGACAGTGGCACAATAGTAGAAATATAGAACCGACTAAGGATACTCTCCAGCTAATTTCTGTAGCTCTTGGTCAGTAATCCTTGGCCAGTATCGGGGAAGTAACTGACTCTTCCCTCGCCCTTCAGAAGGTGGCCTTGCAACACGCACATGGTGAACAGGAGAGGGAGGTCTCAAGGGTCTGGGCAAAATAGGCCGAATTTTTTGCCCCTGCTGGAAGGAAGAAGGCATCTTGCTCTGATCTCTTCCCTCCAAAATTCCCCCAGTAAAGGGTTGAGCAAAATTTGGAGTTGCAGACGGGCCTCCCAAAGTCATACTCAAAGACGGCTCAGAGGATGGATTATTCATATCTTTGACCCCTATCATTATTCTACCATTGTCTGGTTTGGTAAATGTTAATGATCCAATAGATGGTCTAGTGACACTTGAAAATCCTGGGCCAACTTCCCCCTTAGGATAAGTAACTTCTTCTCGTTTGGTTTGCACAGGAGATACATTTATATCACCTCTCTGAGATTGAGACGAAAGGTTGGATTCATTGGCCTCCATGACTTGGCACAATTGCAAAAGTTTTCCCTCGTTGGCAGTATCACTTAATGCTCCATTCTGAGGAACTGTAGATTGCTGATCACCAGAATTACTTATTTTCAATCCACCAAATCCATTTAACACATCATCGTTCTGGATCTGCACATAAGAAAATAAGAATCCCTGAAAAAGTCATCTTTGTGTGTATGTGAGCAAGAGCGAGAGATACAGACAGATATATTCTGACAGATAAAGACCTCCAATAGAGTATATCTAAAATTACTAGGGGGAGCCTGTGAGCATTTCACAGTCTGTCAACCATGATATGTGTCCTTTTATTGGCACAGGTGTTCCATTGAGCAAGTGAAAACAGAATAATCAATACTATGAATTGACGTCAAGTACAACATAAGATACATATATGTACATGTATAATTTCTGTCCTGAAGACTGAAGTTAAATATCAACCATGGACTCAAATGGGAGAGTTTAATGCAAACACATGATTCGGTGGAGATCAGGATAGTGACTTTAAAATGGGTATACAATAACCAAAAACCCGAATTTGTTCATACCACACGAGGTTGAGAAGCACAGCCAATACAACCTATACCCCCAAAATCCAGGCACTCATACAATGTCTCTGAGACTATGCATCCACAGTGGAGAGGCTGCACAAAATTGAATAAATTTTGAAAGTAGAGTCAGAGAGAGTAACGGAGGAGCGGGTGTGAAAGAGAGCTTCAATACTATTTTTTTTTACATGACCAAACTGCAAGCTAACCTTGTGGCACAAATTGCAGTCCCTCCAACCAGTTTCCCCAGAATGGAATGTATTGCAGTAAACTGAATTCTCATACTCAACTCTGGAGTCCACGCAATGCCATGACCAGCAATGGAAGATATATTGTAAACCAACAGGGGAAATAGGTAAGTGTAATACAAAATGCAAAGTACTTTAACGGCTGAAACAACACGAACCGATAAGAAAGATAAGCACTTCTGCCTACTACATTAAGATAACTATGGCTACAGTTAGGTTCTCCAAAGGTTAGTTGATGTAATTTGGGCCCCAATCACAGGGAAAATTTCTTCATAGTTATTCAACAACTTGGGTTACAATTTTCTTATTCATACTTAAATTAGCCGGACCACAAGGATAGAAAAAGTTCAGCACACTATTGAACATACTCTTACGGTAAAAAAAAAGTTGAACAATTTTCTTATTCTTGATATTTCTCCTTAGTATTTCTACTAAGGATTATAATTGCAACCCGATTATATGTTGATTATCGACAATGCCTCTAATTCCTTCATGTCCAACAATAAAAATAGAAGCAGCTCATGAACAATGCAACTAGTCCAAACCCACAAAACACACATAAAAAGCACAACACAAAATAATCGCCAATACACATAAAACCCCACGACAAGAACCACAACCTATATTCCCATAATGCCCTCCCAACTCCGTATCTACCACTGAACAACTGAAAGATTAAAACTTTGACAAGCAAAAATTAAAAAGAGGGAAAAAAAATTACCCGCACTTGTTGCAGAGATGGGCAAATCCACCAGTTCGCAAAGGCCAACCTTTCTTCCATTCGTGCGTATTGGCCGTCCTACACGAAGGATTCATGCAAATCTTGGAGTCCATTGCCCCAAATTCAAACTCTTCAAACCCTTAAATCAAACAAAACAGAGCAATCAAACCCAAATTCCTAAACACCTTTTGATCAAAACCCAGAAATTTAAACAGAAACCCCAGCATTAAACACAATCATACACAACATTTGAGATTTGGGCAATTATTAAACAAATAAATAATTCAAAATTAAATTAAATAGCAAAGATCAAACCTTGTTTTATCCAAATCGAACCCCAAATCGAAACCCAAATCTCGAAAACCACTAGTCATCCAAGAACAGAGCAGAAACACACTCTGGAAACTGCCCAGAAACGGCGGAGGCTGCGGGGCGAGCTCGATAGAGTGAGCTGATGAAGAAGAAGAAGAAGAAGAAACGAGTCAAAACTCAGTCAGCTGTGTTTTACCGTTCACGAACGTAATTAGTCGTAACGGCGAGTGGGATTTTTGGGGGTCTGTGTGGGCAAGACCAGGAGAGAAAGCGTGTATTTAGAGAGAGAGAGAGAGAGAGAGAGAGAGAGAGGAGGAGAGAGGGGGAGGAGAGAGAGTGCATGCAAAGCAACAGATGCATAAAATGCATGCACGACACTTGAAGACACACCACCGCTTAACAAGTCGTCTCCTTTTTTTTTAGTCCATGTATATACACTGTATTGAAATTGTATATTAGAGAGAGAAAGTGAGGAGAGAGAAAGGGAGGGTGAGAATCCCCATTAGGACAGTGATATGATCCGATGACCCGACGGTTTCGTTAGGGCTTTTTTGGTTTGGATCAGCTCTGACCTGTCAGTTGTATTTCTTGGTTTGCTTGACCAAGAAAATGGAAAGACTATTATGACCTTATCTGCCTATATTTAATATTTAATAGGGTTTTTGAAAAAAAAAAATTGGTGTTTGTGTTTTATTTTGCTTTTCAATTCTAATCCTCGACTACGTAAATATATAAACTCGTTTGAATATACTTTTAAAATGATTGAAAACGTTTTTAGAGAAAATATTTTTGGGTTTCAAAAGCATTTTAATTACTTTCCACAAGAAGCATCAGCTATGCGTTTCTCTCAAGAAGCACTTTAAGTATTTTTCCAAGATTTATTAATATTTTTAATAAGGATTGTTTTCAAAAATATTTTCACCAAAAGCGCTTTCATTCATTTTAAAAGCACATCCAAACGAGCTTTATGTAATTTTAATTGCTTTGATTTAGTGATATTTCTTTTATTTAGAAGAAAGATATCTTAAATTTGATTATCGTAAATAACAAGTTAGGTATCAATTTATTATAATCGGTCAATTGTGTAATTATATATATTATTATTTTATTAAAAAAGAGGACGAGCTTAGGCGCAATGAAAATGTTGTTCCCTTATGATCGAAATTTATGATCTAAAAGTCACGCGTTTGAGTCGTGTAAACACCATTTTAGCAAAATATGAATAAAACTATGTACGGTAAACATTATCCCCTCCCCCAACGATCACAAAATCAAAACCCTTGTTAGCTTGCAATCGGCCTATTGTTTTAATTAAAGAAAATCGCAGTTTGCCCTTTGAAGAGCGACCAAAATTGTAAATACCCCTTCAAATTTAACACCCAATTGACTTGAAAACTACAATTTTTTTTGCCAAATTGAAGACAAATAAAATAAATCTTTTCCACTTTTTTCCTTATAAAATAAATAACTCCAATCAGCAAAAAAAAAGAAGGAAATACTCCAAAAATTTAATGTAATTAAAATAAGTGACACCCTGAATTTGTAATTAATGCCCTGTGACGATGTTAAGGTTGTCTTGAAAAGTTTTTCTATGTCCTCTACATAAACTTATCCTCTTTGCATGACAACTAATACATGACTTTTTATGAATCGTGAGCCACTTTATTACATTTTTAGGCCTAAATTGGAATACAATAATGTATGATTCATGTATATGGTGCCAAAATTTCCACCCTCTTTTAACGTGAATTGACTTATCCATTAAGAAAAAACATGAGATAGCTACTTAGAAGATTCGATGAGTTCTGACGAACTTATGGGCCGATACAACGAGCTCTTAGTGTGCCATTGAATCCATTAATCAAACATTGGCCTTTTATAGGTTGGGCGATGAATTTCATTGGGACGACCAGCGGATGTTGATGATATTACATTTAATCTAGTGATCATTGTACCTACATTATCGTGACTATATATTACTTTACCAAATTGATAGAAACATCCCATGTCAGTGATACTGCGTTCAAGGAAGTTGTCTGACGCATAAAGATAAAAGAGTCACATCATACGTAGTTGGAGTGCCTAACACTACCGCGTTGGAGACGCTAAGAGTCCAGGTACTTAGGTCATCCCCAACCGAAGGCTTGCCAGATGGCTCGTTCATTTTAGCCTTGTCGCAAAAAACCGTTTTCTACCAAGGGTCAAAAGGCTATAGTATGGAACGTGAAGAATTGAAATAAAATGAGGTAAAATAGTATGAAATAGTGAAAAATATGTGAGAAATGGTATAGGAAAAAATTAGAAATTTAAAATAAAATAAAAAAAGGTTACTGGGCATAAAAAAAAAAAATAAAAAAAAAAAAAAAAGCCCTAAACCCTAAAGTGGACTGGGCAATGGAAAAGGGAAAAAAAAAAGAAGATGGTATTGACAAATGTGTTTTTTGTTATGTATTTCTGATGAATCAAAGGATTACAACAAAAGCACAATATAAAGCAGTACAACTCAAACAAGGGGGAAGGAACACGCCACCTTCTCCTTGATTTAAGGACTAAACAAAAAGATTTTTCTGATTTCAATGGCACTCCTTGATTTAAGGAGATTTACATCAATAAGTCACCTAAAAACCCTAGTTTCTAGGAGCAGCAGCATGTTGTTGCAGGAAGTGGGAGAGAAGACTTGCTGCTACTGAAAACTAGGGCTAGCTACAGGTTGCCCTTGCTGTGACAGGTTCCCCTTGCTATGACTTTGTGACTTTTTTGTTCAAGACTCCCCCTCAAGCTGGATCCATAAGATCAATAGAGCCAAGCTTGCCCAGAAAGTGCTGAAAATGTGTAGCTGGCAAAGCCTTGGTAAACAAATCAGCCAATTGATCATAGATACGAGTAAAGAGAGTTTGAATGACTTTGGACTGAACTGAGCTCACACATAATGGCAATCCACCTCAATATGCTTGGTACGTTCATGGAAGACCAGATTGGATGCAATGTGCATCGCGGCTTGGTTGTCGCACATGAGTGACATCGGTGCATTGCTAAGGAACCCCAAGTTGAAAAGAAGACTTTTGAGCCATATAAGTTCGCATGCAGTGGAAGCCATTGCGCGATATTCCGCCTCAGCACTAGAGCGAGCAATGACATTCTGTTTTTTGCTTTTCCAAGTGACCAAATTTCCACCCACGAAAGTACAATAACCCGTGGTTGACTTTCGATCGAGAGCATTGGCCGCCCAATCTGCGTCCGTATAGCCTTGTATTTGGGTGGAACCATTATTTCTCATGAGAATACCACGCCCAATGGACCCTTTGAGATTCTGTAGTATCCTCTTAACAACATGAAGATGTGTAACAGTGGGAGCATGCATAAACTGGCTAACAAGACTCACGATATAAGTAATATCAGGCCGTGTGATAGTAAGATAAATAAGTTTACCAACTAATTGTTGATAGTAACCTACGTGAGTGAGAAGTTCCCCAGCCGTGTCCAACTTGAGCTTGCAATCCCAGGAAGTAGTGACTGGTTTACAATTAAACATATTTACCTCTCGAAGAAGATCCAACACGTACTTTCTTTGGTTAAAAAACAGTCCATTTTAGGAAGTTGTCATCTCAATGCCAAGAAAGTAGTTGAGCTTACCAAGATCCTTAATAGCAAACTTCTGATGAAGAGACTGTTTGAGAGACACAATCTCTTCCATATTGTCGCCAGTTATGATAAGATCATCGATGTAAATTAACACCACCAATTTATCCAATGAACCTATGCAAATAAACAAGGATGAATCTGCATTACTCCTGGAGAATTCTACCTCTTCCAACACAGAGCTTAACTTAGCGTACCATGCTCATGGGGACTGTTTTAACCCATAAATGGCTTTGTGGAGCTTACAAACCAGGCCTTTTTGGGAGGCTTGAGGATGTCCAGGAGGTAGTTGCATATATACTTCTTCTTCAAGTTTCCCATGCAGGAATGCATTTTTTACGTCCATTTGGAATAAGAACCAACCTTGGTTGACTGCCACAGAAAGACGGACCCAAACTGTATTCATCTTGGCCACAGGAGCATAAGTCTCCTTGTAGTCCACTCTATACGTTTAAGTAAAACCCCGAGCCATCAATCGTGCTTTATAACTTTCAATAGAGCCATCAGAATGGAATTTTAGCTTGTAAACCTACATACTGCCTACAGCTTTCTTGCCACAAGGGAGATGAACAACACTCCAAGTGTGATTGTCGTTAAGGGCTCACAATTCCTCGTCCATAGCTTGTCTCCATTTGGTATGCATGTTAGCTTCCTGAAACGTACAGGGTTCATGGTGGTTTAAAATAGCATTGAGAAAAGCTGCATGGGAAGGTGAGTGTCGATGATATGCAAGACTGATTGGATGTCGTGCTGCATAAGTAACATAATCCAGCAGTTTGGGTGGAGGTTGGCGAGCTTTTGGAGGATTTCTTTTAACTAGAAGTGGATCAACCTCTTGATTACAGGGAGATGTATCGGAAGCAGGAGCATGAGTGGCATCAACTTGATCAACCTCTTGATAGCTTGAAGAATCAGGAGGATGAGAGGCATCAGAAGTAGGTACATGAGTAACATCAACTTGAAGATAGTCCGAGTTAATATCCCCAATATGATTAGGCAACGGAATCAAGTCCTCCCAAGTCTCCCCCTTACTTGAATCTGCAGTTCCTTTGTGAAAATAAGGAATTGACTCCTCAAATTTTACGTCTTGAGACACCATCATCTTGTTAGTAACAAGGTTAAAACATTTATACCCTTTATGGGTTGAAGAGTAGCCCAAAAACACACACTTAATAGATCGGGGATCTAACTTATCACGATGAGATGCTTGAATATGCACAAAACATGTACATCCAAACACTTTTAAATGTGACAAATCTATGGGCCTATGTTTAAGAACTTCATAGGGTGATTTAAACCCCAAAAGACCACTTGGAAGCTTGTTTATCAAATATGTGGCAGTGAGCACGCCTTGTGACCAAAACTTCTTAGGAATGTTCATGTGAAGCATCAGAGAACGTGTCTTCTCTACGAGGTCTTTATTTTTCCTCTCGACCACCCCATTTTGTTGGGGCGTCCCAACACAACTTGTTTGATGAAATATGCCATGCATGCTCAAATATTGTGCCATGTTGTTAGACATATACTCGGTGCCATTATCCGATCTTAATGTTTGAAGGTTGGACTCAAAATGATTAGTAACAAGGTTGTGAAAGTCTTTAAACATAGTAAACACTTCACTTTTGAATTTCAAGAGATATAACCAAGTAATTCTTGTGAAATCATCAACAAATGTCACAAAATATTTGTAGCCATCAAATGATTCATTAATTGGACCCCAAATATCCGAATGTACAATTTCAAAAGGCTTACTAGCTCTAGACA